TTTAAAAAAAAGGTTTTGATTCTTAAGATGTTACATTTTCCATTTACTGTAGTCTCTCTTCTGAGAAAAGGACCCCAGATCTTGATGTAACTGTTAGCTGGTTATGAGCTCCATCTGTCCCTACGAGAAGGAAAAAAATCCTCACATGGTGATGTCATTGTTGCAAGAGTTTTCCCCGGGGCCCCCTATTTCACCAAGAAGGTAAAGGGCAGTTGATTTAAGGAACTTGTTTAGCATCATGGACAGACTGGACCAGTCCTCTGAAAACTTCAGCAATACTGGTCTGCATTGGAGATGCTCGGCAGGCAGGCTTGGAAAAGGCCCATTTTATATTTATTGTACCTACCTGCCTGCTCCCTCCATGACAAGAATTATAAAGTGCATGGATCCCCTGATATCCTATGTAGTTGACTGAAAGAGAGCAGAATCTGAGTTTCCAGAAAGGTGCAGAATAAGGGCGTAAAATTAGAGTCAGAGGATATGGGCTTCTTTGGTATTCAAAGACAGAAGGACTTAGAGCAGAAGGTAGTCTTCTGAGACCAAAGGTTTTCTAGGTTCTCACCAACTACTCTGGGAACCTGTACTTTTAAAAAAAAAAAAAAAAAAGGTTTGGTTTGGTTTGGTTTTAATAGTTGTCTGAATCCTCATATCTCTTCTAAAGTAGTGTTTATTGCTCTCATAGGCCTGAGGCCCTATAGACACCCATGATACATAATTTGCATTTACTATGAAGATTTAAAGGAATACATTAATTCAGTCTTATTAAACAGTTTAAGAGGAACAGGTTGATGGTTCTGGGTGTAGTAATGTTAAAGTTGTCTTGAAATAAAACTTTGGCAATTAGGAGACCATATTCTAGCTAGAGCAGTAACATGTTTTCCCACAAAGTTTTTTTTAATTCCAGTATTATTTTTATTTTATTATTTTTATACCAGCAATGAAAGAGCAGTTTACAAATCGAAACTTTCCTGAAGATAGTAATGCTCCTCTCTCTCCAGACAGCTAACAGGCTCCTCCCCAGGAAGCAGTGTTAGAATTCAGTAATGATTTCACCATCTTACTGCTGCCAGTGTGCCCTCGTCCTAGATTGATTCAACTGGTGCAGCAGGGGGTTGTTAAAGAAAAAAGGTTGTCGACAGAAGACCAATCCATCTCTCAGGGCCCACACAATATTTTCAGTCTCATAAAAGATGTGCTCCTTAACGTTGCTTGTTTCTGGAATACTTAAAAAAATTTTTTTTAATTTGTATATAAGTTTTAAAAGTTACTTTCCATTTACAGTTATTATAAAATATTGGTTATATTCCCCCTGTTGTACAATAAATCCTTGAGCCTATCTTACACCCAATAGTTTTGTACCTTCCACTCCCCCATGTCTGTATTGCCCTTCCCTCTCCCTACTGGTAACCACTAGTTTGTTCTCCATATCTGGGAGTCTGCTTCTTTTTTGTTATATTCACCAGTTTGTTGTATTTTTGAGATTCCACAAATAAGTGATATCATACAGTATTTGTCTTACTCTGTCTGACTTACTTCAGTTAGCATGATGCCCTCCAAGTCCATCCATGTTGCTGCAGATGGCAAAATTTCATTCTTTTTTATGACTTAGTAGTATTCTATTATATTTATATATATATATACCACATCTTTATCCATTCATTTGTTGATGGGCACTTAGGTTGCTTCCATATCTTGGCTATTGTAAATAATGCTGCTATGAACATTGGGGTTTATGTATCTTTTCAAATTAGTGTTTTTATTTTTTTCGGATATATACCCAAGAGTACAATTGCTGGGTCATATCAGTCACATATGCAAATGATGCGACTGATATGACTGCAAGGGGTTAATATCCAACATATATAAACAGCTAATACAACTCAACATCAAAAAAACAAAACAACCTGATTTAAAAATGGGCAGAATATCTGAACAGATATTTTTCCAAAGGGGAAATGCCAGTGGCCAACAGGCACATGAAAAGATGCTCAACATCCCTAATCATTAGGGAAATGCAAATCAAAACCACAATGAGGTATTACCTCACACCTGTCAGAATGGCCATCATCAAAAAGAACACAGATAACAAATGCTGGTGAAGATGTGGAGAAAAGGGAACCCTTCTACACTGTTGGTGTGAATGTAAATTGGTACAGCTACTGTGGACAACAGTATGGCAGTTTCTCAAAAAAAAAAACCTAAAAATGGAATACTTTGTAAAAAGAAACATTAGACAGAACCTGGAAAAAATTTTGGTCTGGCATTGTTTGCAAAATGCTGATTTTTGATTAAGAAAAGTTTGAAGGGTATGGTACACATCCTGGTGAGGGCCTGTGTACCCAGTGGAAGAACTCAGTATTTACTCAGGTGTCACCCCAGCCTGTAAGCTAGAGTTCACTCACTCAAAATATCTAATACTCCTTGTTATATAGAGAAGAATCAGGACCAGAGAGGACTTGGATTGTTCATCTTCAGTCAGACAAAAGTTACTGGCGTTTGTATAAAAACAAGCTAGAATTCTTGGTGTTTAGTAAATTCCTTTTGCTCCATATTCATCAGCCTGTTTTTTCTCTGTCTTTTATTTAAGTCATATGCCTTTTTTTAAAACATACATGGAAAAAGCTTTGCACCCTCTTTAATCCTTGAAACAAATTCATGCCATGCTAATTTTGCATATTTTTTTTCTGACCTATCACTTTTCCCATCCCAAAACTTCTAAAATGATTCCCTGAAGGGAACACATTCTGCAGCTCCAATCCCAGTTGAAAAATGCTTTAGCACGTGAACTTTATGTGAAGGAATTATACCTCCTTGATTGATATAATTGTGATTTAAACAACTGAAGTGAAAATCATGTGATTTAAATAGAAAAAAAAAATGACACAGAATTATATGGAGATTATAACAGTGTAAATTATGTGTGCCAGTAGAGGAGGGAATAAAAAAGGAAATACATCAAATGAATATAGTGACGGTATTCAAATGGTGTGGTTATGGGTTTACGGTGGTCTGTTTTGTTTTGTTTCTTTTTTTTTTTCTAGATTGTACCTGATGGCATTATTTTAAAAACAGAAAGTTTGTTTTAAAGTGTGTTTTGTATAAATATCAAGTTGTACACTTAATAATTATCCGATAGTACATCAAGAAATTCTCAAAGTGATTTTTAAATCATTTTATTGTGATTCAGCCAAATAACTCTAATGGTTCCTTTCTTAGATTTTTAAATTATATTAAAAAATTTGTTAAAATAGTGGCATATTACAGATAGTGACTTTTTTACTATCTTTGGAGCATAACCTTTTCCATAAAGTCTTAATCTTGACTAGGAATACTGTGGTATTGACTTCTTTTGTTTCAGTTTTTTCATGTTTTTAATCTGTTCACAAATCTGGGCCTATCTAAATAGCAAGAATAGATTTGGTGATTTGAACAGCAAAATGTAAACCAGAAGTTTAAAGAGACAGTGTTCAAAATATACTGACCTTCTGCAGCCTGCATCCCTGGTGAAACAGAGAAGAGACCAGCATTTATCTTTTCATTGAAACCATGTGCTGTGTGTGCAGGAAGGAAATGCATGCTAGTCAGAGGTCAGAAGCAGGATGGATGAGGTTTGAAAGAGAATATTTACTGTGGGGTTTTCCTAAACCCCTAGCCTCATGGGAGATGTTGTTATTTCTAGTAGACTTGGTGGAAACTTGGGCAGACCCAGATGTGTTACATCATGGTACATGGAGGACATTATCAAGAAGCTGTGGCCAGGTATAGGTCTCTCTGTGTGCTGGGCTAAGAAGGACAGCAATGAGTTTAGACCTTGACCAAATAGATAAACCAGAGGCGCTGGGAATGAATTTAGCTCCTTGGAAACTTTAGTCTGAAGAGGATCCCCTGCACACAAAAGGTCTAGAAATCATGTCATGAGCTAAACAGTTAAAGGAGCTAATGAGGTTTAGTGTGAGGCAGGAAAGGATTAAAAGGATCTGACAGATGCCTTTGAAATCCAAAGGGTAGTTGGTAAAAGTTGAAGCACGTTTTCTGTGGACCTTTGGAGAACTGAACTAAGAACAATGTGTAGAGATGGGGGAAACACGTTTCAGCCTAATGTAAGGAAGGTGTTCTTAGAGTTGGAGCGATCCCTTAATGTAGTGGGATGGTGAATTCTGGAGGCATTCGGAAGGGGCAGTGGGAGGGGGCTTTTCACACTGTGTGGTCAGATTCAGTTCCCCTCCACCAGGCTGAATGGTCGATTGTGTGGCACCCCGGTGCCCTGTACCTGTACATCCCGTTTGTCAGCTGAAGGTAGCAAAGCTGTTTTCTTTGTTTCCTTTTCATAGTTGTTGCTAAGCTCGAGATGCAAAAGCAGACTGCCAATTAAATATCCCTGCCCCTTTCTCCTATGTCACCTTACCCTAAAACAGGTAGCCTCCCCTTCCACACCCTCTTCAATTCTTAATTCTTTAACCCCAAAGCACAAAAATCGCCCTTGTGTTTCTTAATTTGTTCTAAAATGTTGTCTGCTCTTACTCTGGATGTGAGATTCAATATGACCCCTTCATCTCACTTTTTTGGGGCATTCTCTCTGCTCCTATCTGCTCAAAGACAAATATGTATGCTTTAGAGCCTTATGCAACTATCAGCCGGGAGCCTGAAGTGGAGAGTGGGCAGGAGAGGGAGGTGGGGGAATAACTGATATTCTCCTCTCTAAATCCCCTTCACCCACAAGCAAGTAGATTTGGCAAAAGAGATTATTTCAGTAGAGACTCATCTTCATCAAACTAATGTATTTTAAAAACTAAGAGTTACAATTTAAAAAGTAATTAGTATTTTCAGACATATGTTTCTGGACATGATCATTTCTGTGGTCAAAGTAGGTATGTTTTAGCCCAATTTGTTTAGTGTTTTTTCTCTGTGACATATATACTGGGTTGATGTTGTTATTTTTCTAACATAAATTCAGAATTTATCATCTTTTATTGACTCCATGGATCTTTTCCTCCCTGCAGGAATAGGAGGCCTTCAAGACTTTGTGCTGAAATCGGCAACACTGTCTACCTTGCCCTCCTGCCCGCCATTTATACCACTCAACTTTGAAGCCACCCCTATTGTGAGGGTTGCTGTTGAACCGAAACATCCAAGTAAGATGACCTTGTTTTTAAAAGCCTGTGATGTTCATTACATTTTTAAAATACTTGCATTTAATGCTTGGTTCCTCATGATTTGTTTCAGTAGTAGGCTATGAATTTTCATGAAGGTATATAATAGGAGTAACCTGCCCAGCCATGAGGCCATACAGACCACCAACATTTTGAGGGGAATCTAACCTCTGTCTTAGGAACCGGGAGTCTTTAGGCACCTTCGCCCTCCAGGGAGACTGTATTCTTCTTTATGGCAGAAACAGGGTCATCTCTGCATCCCCCAGAACCCTGGCACAGGGTGGCGTCTCAGCAAAGTTCATGTTTTATGTGAATGGTTCTTAGAATCTTACCCCAAGCTCCTTGGTTCAAAATTCATATCCTCTTCCCTCTAGGTTTGCTAGATTATCTGGACACTGAGCATTTCCTCTTTGTGTAGAAAGCACTTCCTGCGTCTTTCTGTCTGGCTGTGTGACACCTACATATGCCAGTCCCTATAATAACTAATTCTTAGTCTTTGGTTTATACCATTTGCCTGGCCAATCTTCATTAACTCTTGTATTTTCCTTCCCATGATTGTCACTAACCCCCCTAGTCCCTGTGACTTGGCTGTTCCCAGTGCTTAGTGGTAGTCAGTGAAGAGTCTCCAGACTGCTTTAAGGAAACCAGAGAACAAATGTGTAAAATGGCAGTTTAGTTGAGGTATATAATGGCCTCGTTGCCCCTGCATCTGTATATCCCTCCTCTCCCCACAGCTGGGGCCTTCGGAAAGCTTGTCTCTGCCTCAGTTCCTAAGACATATTCTAGCCATTGAGGATCCCTGGGACCCTTGAGCAGATATGTATTTGGAGGACTGCATCTCTGGCCTTTGGGCTCAGTCTTAGTAAATAGCTATCTGCCTTGGGCCTCAGACAGGCATGCTTTCTGGGCTGTCACTGTGGACTGACAGTGCCTTTGGTTGTTGCATGGATTTACCCCATTCTGTGTAATGCCTGCTTCCTCTTTGTGGGTTTGTCCAGATCCCGGCCCCTCATGGTTTGTTCTTTTATTCTCCTTGCTAACTGCCTCCAACCCTAAGAAGCACATACAATAGAAGAAAAGCTCAGTTTTATTGAAGTTGTAACATTTGAGTCTGGCAACCATAATTTATTCTTAGGCGTTTCTAGTATTTATTTAAATCTTATTTCTTACTTTTAAAACAGAGATTAAAGAAATTTTAGCTATAATGTTTTAAGAGAAATGTGTAATTTTTTGGAGTCTGTTTGATAGCTGTGTGCTACTCTGTGCTATTATCCAAGCCGAGTAAAAGCCCAGTCCTAACGGGCCACCTTCTGTACAGCTCTGCTACAGGAGAGGAGAGATCCTAGTACCTAGCTTACTTCCTGCCCCATAGCAGACTCAGTAAGATTAATTGCTTTCTCATAAACAGGGTAATCTAATAAACAGAATTACTTAAGATTGGCCATCTGAGTGCCAAAATTTATTTCCTCATATGTGTTGCATTAGATTTTTCTGAACTTTGTAAAAAATAAACTAAAATGATAGAAGGGGCACCGGTTTTCTTCATAATTTTAAAAGGAGTATTGCTACTTTTCCCAATCAAGTATATTGTTCTTGCTGAATTTGCCATGCGTATTCTTGATTATGTTATTGAAGTGTACGCCATTCTATATTTCCATGTCTGAAGTTTATACCCGTTGTTCTGTCTTCTTGTTATTACAATGTCAACATCTTATTTTACATTTAGAATGTCTGGGAATACTTCTCTTGATGCTAGTCTCATTCCTCTGAGCCCTCAGAGGATATTTATTGTCCCTGTACTCTTTGCCCTAGTTTCTTATGCCCATCCTTACTTTGGGGCGATAGCCCCTCTCTTTACGGATTACATGTCTAATGACTATTGGGATGTCCCACCCTCCTGTACCTCAACTTCCCAGTAGTACTGCCCCTGAGAAGCACTGGGCAGTTGCATTGTTTATTTCTGAACAGAACATATGTCCCCAGGCCCTCTTTTCTTTTTCATGCTGACAAACTGGATTAACTAATCTAGAAGACAGCCTTTTTACTCTTCTTTTGGTGTGAAGGCATTCCGAGCATTTGTTCTTCCACTTTTCTTTCTCTGACTTCCTAAGCTGAGGTCCAGATGTCATGGTGGCCGCCACTCTGCTCCATGCCCACAGGGTCTACTCAAAATCCAACACCCAAACACAGAGAACTCCACGTGCCCAAAGCCATTATTATTTTCAGCATCATCATTGATCCTGACTGTGTGCTACATTCTGAGGATTTGACATTATCTCATGTAATCTTCTCAACAGCCGTGTGCTATTTTTTATCCTCATCTTCACATGAGGTAAACTGAAGCTTAGAGAAGCTAGTTAACTTGCCCATGGCCTTACAGTTAGCAGTTAGTAAGTGGTTGAGTCAGGATTCAGACTCCTGCCTCTGGATCTTTATTTTTAGGAATCCAAGAAATTCTGTTTACCTGAGAGCAGAGTTACTGGTTTCCAGAATTTTTCCATCCTTTATCCATATCAGTTAAAAGAAAAGAGCCCTCTCTGCATATGGTTATATAGATACATGAACTTCTGTGCTGATGTTTTCTGTACAATATGAAATACACACAAGCATAGAAGTTACTGTAAAAATTGAGATGAAAATGAAATAACTGTCTTTAAAATATTCTTATTTGTATTTGTTGGAGGTATGCACTGTATCTATAAATAGGTGAATATGTATTATTTATTTATGATTGTGGTTTATAGTTGCATTAGTTATGTAATACTGCCTAACATATTACTCCAAAATTTGGAGACTTGAAAGAACAGTAATCACTTCTTATTTTTCACAGTTCCTTTGGTCAGGAATTTTGGAACGGTTCAGTTTGGGGATGTCTCACGCAGTTGTAGTCATATATCACAGCAGGCTGCAGCCGTCTGAAGGTTTAACTGGACTTCCACGGTGGTTCACTCACTGGTGCTCATAAGCTGGTGCTGGCTGGGGACCTCAATTCCTCCACAGGGACCTCTCCTCGTGGCTGCTTGATTTTCCTAGAGCACCGTATGGTTACTGGCTTTAGCCAGTAGTCCAAGACACTAAAACAGAAGCTGCAGTACCTTCTGTTAGCTAGCCTTAGGAATCACATATCACTTCTGCAGTATTCTATTGGTCAGACAGGCCAAATTTCTTTTGAAAAAGCTTCTTCTTTGCTTATTGCTACACTGTCACCTTTGCCTTGAAGTGACAGATTTAAGTGTGTATGTGAATGTGAGTGGGTTTTTTGTTTTTGTTTTCTTAAGAATTTGTGGACTTCCTGGTGGCGCAGTGGTTAAGAATCCGCCTGCCAGTGCAGGCGACACGGGTTCAAGCCCTGGTCTGGGAAGATCCCACATGCCGCAGAGCAACTAAGCCTGTGCGCCACAACTACTGAGCCTGCACTCTAGAGCCCGTGAGCCACAGCTACTGAGCCTGTACTCTAGAGCCCGCGAGCCACAACTACTGAAGCCTGCGTGCCTAGAGCCCATGCTCTGCCACAAGAGAAGCCACCGCAATGAGAAGCCTGCGCACTGCAACGAAGAGTAGCCCCCGCTCGCCACAACTAGAGAAAGCCCACACGCAGCAGCGAAGACCCAATGCAGCCAAAAATAAACAAATAAATTTATAAGGAAAAATTTAAAAAAGAATTTATTAGGTCCTCATACTGGTAACATTGTTTTGTAATTTGGTGATGGAGAGCTGACAAAAAGCTTTGTCATTTTTTTTTTAATTATTCCCTTGGGCTTGTGTGACATGTATTATTAGTGGTCTTCGTGCAAGAATCTTTTTAAGCCATATTTCAAATTCTGTGAAGGTTAACTTAACACTAGATAATATCTGTCCACGGAATTAGGCAAAGGAAAACTACAAATGCTGAAAAGGAAAACATGAGGGTACATCCGTCACCCCCACAAACAGTGAAATCCCACTCCCTGTCTTCCGTCAGCATTTCACGCATCCCATATGTGGCTCATGACCACGACCTGTGAGGGTGCCGACACCCATTATGGAGTGTGGCTCTATGGCTGTCTGCCTGCAGGCTTCAAAACCAGTGTGTCTGTGACCTTGAGCACAGGTTCCTTAAGCTTCTCTATGCCTGTTTGCTCATCTATAAAATGAGAACAGTAATCATTCCTGCCTCCTAGTTAATGGGTTCATATATGTAAAGTGCTTATCTGGCACACTTAGCACTATAAAGTGTTAGTTACCATTAAGAAAAGCTTATTTAAAGAATAAATAGATATGGAAGAGATATGGGTAGTCAACTTGGGAAGAATATATTGAAAAACCACTGATTGCAGAAAGCTCCCGTGGTTTGGTTTGTTGGCATGTTGAAAACCAAGCATTGAGGAATTAACTGAGTCCTTCCTTCAGACGTAGAAGTGAAACAAGACTGCGTAAAAATGCCTTCAAAGCCAAGGTCTCTGCTGAAGTAGTAACAAGAGAATTCCTGTGACCTGCCTTGAGTAAATAGTGGCCACCACGCATATGAAAGGTGTGAAAAAGCAGCAGAACTCAAGATGTGGATCCAAATCCCTACCTGTACCCCAAGAACTGTAGGGAACAAGCAATTAGATACTGAAAGCACCAGCAGAGTGGAATGCAGAAGGTACCCATAGCTCACGGGATAAAGTGGCTGCTTAGTGTATCCCACCTCTCACCCAAAGGGCAGCTTTATTCTAAAATCCACAGTTCTGTCAAGCAGTTTCATAAATAATTATTATTTATTTAATTTTTTGCAGTACGCGGGCCTCTCACTGTTGTGGCCTCTCCCGTTGTGGAGCACAGGCTCCGGACGTGCAGGCTCAGTGGCCATGGCTCACGGCCCTAGCCGCTCCGCGGCGTGTGGGATCTTCCCGGACCGGGGCACGAACCCGTGTCCCCTGCATCGGCAGGCGGACTCTGAACCACTGTGCCACCAGGGAAGCCCAATAATTATTTTAAATATGAGCTTCTGGTACAGTTTCTTGAATTGAGTATCATATTGAATGCTTCCTTTGCTTATTTGTTGCTTTTATAGTTTTATAGGTACTGTTTGGGAAGAGTTCTGTTACATTTCTAGGTATATATATATACATGAGTAATACATTTAGGTGGATTTACAAGTGTAACGATGGTAGTTTATATTTGCTGAGTGTTTGAAGAAGTGGCATAGATCAGCTTTGGGAGTCTCAGTGATATGTGACACGTGTCTCATGTGAGCTATCTGTACAGGTAAATTACTAGAGGGTAGTTTTCTTCACATTGCTATATTATTTGGAAGAACAGTAAACCATTATTTTAAGAGTTTATTTCATTATACTTTTCCCTTCAGTTTTCTCACAGATGTTATCTTTAGATTATATTAGTCCTTATCTTGTATCTAATCAGTATTTCATTTTGTTAACCTAGGTGAAATGCCTCAGCTCGTCAGAGGAATGAAACTGTTAAACCAAGCTGATCCCTGTGTCCAGATTTTAATTCAGGAAACGGGAGAGCACGTTTTAGTCACAGCAGGGGAAGTTCACCTTCAGCGATGCCTGGATGACTTAAAAGAAAGGTTAGGTGACAACAGAGATGAAGAAATGATAGCCCCCAAATCGGTGGGATGCTTTAGCGTTTCCTAAACCCATTGAACTTACACTGTGGTTTGTCTTTGGAGAAAAATTAAGTGCCCTCAACTTAAACAGGAACTGTTATTGTGTTACTGGATCATAGATTTAATTTTTAATAACTGACAAATAGTATTCACTGCTATACTTGCATGATTTTGCATTTTTAGTTTGAGTCATAAAATATTTTCATATATATGTATTTTACTTTAAGCATATACACACACAGCATATCAGGGCAACAAAACAAAATCGTATTTTGTAAACATAGGCTGTAATTAGGATAGACTTCCTTTCCTTATTGATGTGGTCTCTACAGTGTAAACCTTCGGTAAATCTTTATATTTCTCTATCATGGTGATACATAAGTGTCATAAAATAGGCATCCCAAATAACTTTTTGTAAATTATGTTTTCCTCTTTATTCCAAAGGTAATATATGTTTATTGTAGCAATTAGGGAAATACAGAAGAATAAAAAGAATCATTCAGTTACCATGCAGAGATAACTATGACCATAACATTTGGGTCCATAAATCCCTAGTCTGTTCTATGTGTATTCAAATACCTACAGATATCTATACACAGCTCTGATTATTTGGTTAAGATAAACTTCTGGAAGTATAATTGCTGATTCAAAAGGTGGCATATTACATTGCTGGCATATTTTTTAGGCTTATGATCCATATTATCCTTAAGAAAGGCTGTTCCAGTTTACACTGAAACTAGCAAGGTGTATTTGAAAGTGTCTCTTTTCCCAAACTTTTGCCAGCCCTGTATATCATAATTTTTAAAAATTTCACCAACCTGGAAGACGAATAAAAGGTGTTCATTGTTAATATACACTTTCTGTGCTTAGTAATGATACTGAAACTTTTTTTTTTAATGAATTAATTTATTTTTGGCTGCGTTGGGTCTTTGTTGCCACGCGCAGGCTTTCTCTAGTTGCAGCGAGCAGGGGCTACTCTTCGTTGTGGTGCACAGGCTTCTCATTGCGGTGGCTTCTCTTCTTGTGGAGCACGGGCTCTAGGTGCATGGGCTTCAGTAGTTGCGGCACGTAGGCTCATTAGTTGTGGCTCACGGGCTCTAGAGCACAGGCTCAGTAGTTGTGGCGCACGGGCTTAGTTGCTCCGCGGCATGTGGGATCTTCCCGGACCGGGGCTCACACCCGTGTCCCCTGCATTGGCAGGCGGATTCTTAACCACTGCGCCACCAGGGAAGTCCCTGAAACTTTTTTTTTTTTTTTTTTAACATCTTTATTGGGGTATAATTGCTTTACAATGGTGTGTTAGTTTCTGCTTTATAACAAAGTGAATCAGTTATACATATACATATGTTCCCATATCTCTACCCTCTTGCGTCTCTCTCCCTCCCACCCTCCCTATCCCACCCCTCCAGGCTGTCACAAAGCACCAAGCCAATATCCCTGTGCCATGCGGCTGCTTCCCACTAGCTATCTACCTTACTACGTTTGTTAGTGTGTATATGTCCATGACTCTCTCTCGCCCTGTCACAGCTCACCCTTCCCCCTCCCCATAACCTCAAGTCCGTTCTCTAGGAGGTCTGCGTCTTTATTCCTGCCTTACCCCTAGGTTCTTCATGACATTTTTTTTCTTAAATTCCATACATATGTGTTAGCATACGGTATTTGTCTTTTTCTTTCTGACTTACTTCACTCTGTATGACAGACTCTAGGTCTATCCACCTCATTACAAATAGCTCAATTCCTGAAACATTTTTTAATATGTTTATTGGCCATTTGTTTTTCTTTGATGAATCACCCTGTAATGGCCTTCCTTCCTTTTATTTTTCAATTTTCTGGGACTTTAATAACCATAATAATAATTATAGCTAAAATAATAATTATAAATAATCAACATGATTACATACTAAATACTACATGTTAGTCACTGTGTTGAACTCTGTGTGTTTAATCCTTAAAACAACCTAGTAAAATTGGTGGTGGTGGTAGTAGTAATAATTGTTGTTGTAGTACAGTACTACTTTACTACTACTACTACTAATACAGTAGAATAAGAAGAGCTGCTCCTGCAGCACCATCCATTTGGGTTTCTTTAAATGTTTTTATAGCCATAATTAGTACAAAATTGGAAGGTAGGTTTTTCCATCTCTTTCATGTTGTCACCATTTTCTTAGAATTTCTGAAGGTATAATTATAATGTTGATTAGAGAATAATCCTAATTGGATAAATCGTAAGGCATAATGTATTTTAAAATAGTAACTTAATTCTCAGAGGGATTTTTTCTTAACAGTATTGAAATGTTATGTTATATTTTGGAGTTTTTGAACTAACTTATTTTCTCTCTTTTCACACTCTTTGCTACCAAATTAAAATCCAATGTTAAATAACCTTACGTTTCTCAGGCCATTAACTCCTCTTTAAAAATAATGCTTTATGGTACTTAGAATTATATTTCAAGTAAAATTCCCCCTTTAAATCTAAAACTGATTTTAATTGAATTACTTATTTGCGGTTGAAATTTTTTAAAGTGACAGCATCAAATGGTGGCAAAGATGTAGAGCAAAGATGTAGGAGTTTACCTACACAGCTAGTGGGAGCGTGAGTTGGTACAACTACTTTGGAATGTAGTTTGGGTATTATCTACTAAGGTAGGAGATAGTTATTTCCTACGGCTTGGCAAATCTATTCCCATTTCTATTCTATATATACTTAACACAAAGCTGGACAAATGTGCATCAATAATATTCATAGCAACAAAAATTTTAATAGCCCAAAACTGGAAAAAACTCAAAATAAAATGCATAAACAAATAAATTACGGTAAATCCATACCATGGGATTTTATAGAATAATCTCAGTGAACAAGCTAACTACGCAAACATGGATGAATTTCACAACATAATATTGAGCAAAAGAAGACAACTGAAGAAAAAAATGTTTGATTCTATTCATATAAAGTCCAAAAAGCAGGCCAAACTGAACTATATACAGTATGGGGGTTTTATGTTTAGGTGTTAAAAAAGATAATTTAAGGGCTTCCCTGGTGGCGCAGTGGTTGAGAGTCCGCCTGCCGATGCAGGGGACACGGGTTCGTGCCCCGGTCCGGGAAGATCTCACATTCCGCGGAGCGGCTAGGGCCGTGAGCCATGGCCGCTGAGCCTGCGCGTCCAGAGCCTGTGCTCCGCAACGGGAGAGGCCACAACAGTGAGAGGCCCACGTACCGCAATAATAATGATAATAATAATAATTTAAAATGGATTACAGTGAAAATCAAGATAGCGGTTACCTTCATGGGGTTGGGAGAATGCATAAGGGGGCCTTCTGAGGGCTAGGAATGTTCTGTTTCTTAACTTGAGTAGTGGTTTATTTACATGGTGTTCATGTTGTGAAAGTCATAGATCCAGTAGAGTTTTGTTTTGTGTACTGTTCTATATGACTGGTAAATTTTACAATTATATACTTAGAATAAGAACATATATATAATGCTAGAGGGTTTTTTAACCTCTCATAGGACAGAGCCTATGCCTTCTAATATATAAGCTTTTTTGACTTTGATACACATGTGCAGGAATGCGTTATGTACATGCGTGGGAGACAAGGAGGCTCCTGTGATCTCTAGGCCAGAGAAACTGTCAGAGCTCTTATCCTACACCTCTCAAGGTAGTCATGATCAGATGTGGCAGGAAGCCACAGGAAATTGCTGATGTAGTCGGAGTCTACTGCACTTCTTTTGAAGTAATCACAGGCTCTGCACTGCCAGGATTTAAAGAAACTCTAGCCCTGAGGCACTTTGTAGGTGTGACAGGCAAACGCACACCTCCCCTTCCATGGTGTGGAATGATTTTAATTAATCTTGTAAGTGAGGACTATGGGAGAATTCTTGGGAACCTTAGAAACTGGAAGGACTAATATGACTTAGTAGCCCTTTTGACCTTATGGTATGAGGAAAATAGGACAGTGTCATAGTACTCAACTCTCATAGTTTCAAAGCTGTGCAATTGGTTTTCTTGAATGTTCTAAGTATGTTGAACATATTTTCTCTAAATAAAGGTAACTAAAAAAATATTTTCCTGTTTCTAAGATTTCTAAGTGCTTTTCTTTTTTAAAAACCAGGAGTGGGTATTAAATTTTATTGAATGCCAATTTAGCATTTTTAAAGATGGTTACCTAGATTACTTTATTAGACACTTTTAATGTGATATTTTAACAGATGTCCTAATACAAATCAAGTTTTAGAACCTACAGTAAAAACTACTTAGTGTTGTAGTGAATTATTCCTTTAATATGCTGTTTAATTGGATTTTTCATTATAGTATAATGGCTAAGAGCATGGATTCTGAGGTCAGACCTCGATTTGAAACCCAGCTTACTAGCTCTGTGACTTTGGAGAAGTTATTTGATCTTTCTTATTTGATTTTCTCCTCTACAAAATGAGGATAATAATATACCTACTAAAGAAATAACACATGTAAACCACTTAACACAGTGCCTCATACATAATAAGTGATTAGTAAAAATAAAACACACACATATATATCCATTTTTGTCATTGTCATTTTATCTTAGATTTTATATCTCAGTTCTTGGGTAAGATTGAGCTACAGTTTTGTGTATGTCTGCTGTCTTTTTCAGGTTCAAGTATCAGAGTAATTTTAAATGAATACAGTGTCAGGTAGACATCCATCTTGTGTATTCTGCAACAATGTATATAGCATTGGAATAGACTAATCCTTGAAAGTAAACCAACTCACTGGCAAAACCAAAACCTTTCTTGGAAGTGACTTTTATTTTTAGAAAATTTTAATTTTCTTCCATACATTATGATCTATTCAGGTTCTGTATTCTAAAATCAGTTTTGGTAACTGATGGTTTTTAGAAAACCATCCATTCATTGAGTTTTCAATTTTATCACAAAGTATGAAATCAGATAAACCAAATTCCTGCCCTAAACCCACAAAATATAGAAAGCAAAAACAAATCTAGAATCAAAAGTAAGCATTTCAAAACCTTTTACTTTTAGTATTTAATTTCCTTATTCAATAACATTCCCCAGGGAAAAAGTATTGTTCCAAGATCCAAAAATTTCTTATATATGTGTACATACACACGCATTTATGTATGTGTACATACATATATATATGTACATTTATACATATGTCCATCCACCTTGCCAGTAGTAGACCAGACCAAACCTTTAGTGTTTCCTGGGAATGAGGTAAACAGAAAATAAGAGAAAAAGAAAGATTGCGTGGTTTCATTGTCATCAGAATCAGACCATGTCAGTTTCCAGAATCTGCCCTCTGTGAATTTGTAACTCATCTGCAAGAAAGTGCAGCATGAAACTAAGCTTGACACATTGTGAGAAAGGGGGCTTTCTGAACTTGGTGGCAGACTGAGGTTCAAGACCTATGAGGTTCAAGACCTATGCGGTCTAGTAGAGTAGCCACTAACCACATATGGCTATTTTAAATTAAATTAAGATTAAATAAGATTAAAAATTCAGTCCCTCAGTCACATTAGCCACATTTCAAATGTTCGGTAGCTACATGTGGCTATTTAAATGTAATTAAAATTAAATGGAGGCTTCCTTGGTGGCGCAGTGGTTGAGAGTCCGCCTGCCGATGCAGGGGACATGGGTTCATGCCCCGGTCCGGGAGGATCCCACATGCCGCAGAGCGACTGGGCCCGTGGGCCATGGCCGCTGAGCCTGCGGGTCTGGAGCCTGTGCTCCGCAACGGGAGAGGCCGCAGCAGTGAGAGGCCCGCGTACCGCAAAAAAAAAAAAAAAAAAAAATTAAGTGAAATTAAAACTTTGTTTCCCCAGTTGTACTAGCCACATATCAAGTACTCTGTAATCATAGTACAGATATAGAACATTTCCATTATTTCAGAAAGATCTTTTGGAGAGTGCTACTCTAGACAAACTCCTAGGTCTTGCCACCCTCACCATGAACCTCATCAAAGCCAAATCCACTGTCAGGATTTGACTGGATATCCTGAAATTCTGTGATTTTTTTTTTTTTTTTTATCTCTTTAGAGTTATAATCATTGAGCTTTTCTTCTCCAGATTCTTAAAGTGGCAGATAATATTTTAAAGAATTCATGTAAAACCTTATTAAAACATTTATTCTCCACTCAAAACATTCTTTTTTAAAAATATTTTAATGCCTATTTTATTTTATTATTTTTTTTACATCTTTATTGGAGTATAATTGCTTTACAATGGTGTGTTAGTTTCTGCTTTATAACAAAGTGAATCAGTTATACATATATTCCCATATCTCCTCCCTCTTGCATCTCCCTCCCTCCCACCCTCCCTATCCCACCCCTCCAGGCGGTCACAAAGCACTGAGTTGATCTCCTTGTGCTATGCGGCTGCTTCCCACTAGGTATCTGTTTTACGTTTGGTAGTGTATATATGTCCATGCCACTCTCTCACTTTGTCACAGCTTACCCTTCCCCCTCCCCATATCCTCAAGTCCATTCTCTAGTAGGTCTGTGTCTTTATTCCTGTCTTACCCCTAGGTTCTTCATGACATTATTTTTTTCTTAGATTCCATATATATGTGTTAGCATACGGTATTTGTCTTTTTCTTTCTGGCTTACTACACTCTGCATGACAGACTCTAGGTCCATCCACCTCACTACAAATAACTCACTTTCATTTCTTTTTATGGCTGAGTAATATTCCATTGTAAAACATTCTTATCTAAATACATGGTTTATTTATTTTGAGAATGAACAAAGCAGTGAGATTCTAGTATATGCAAAGAACTCCCTGAAGGTCTGTTCCCATTAGAGGTGGTCTTTTGACTCTGAAATGAAAGTGGTTTTTGAATTCTGATATAATGTAAATTAACAGTATTTCCTAGTAAAATAATTTTTATATTTCTATGTTTTTGCAGAATATTCATTATGTAACATTTCTACATGGACGTTTTGATGCCATTTTGATTATAACCTTGTGTTATTTCTCTTGACTCTGTAGGTTTGCAAAGATTCAAATCAGTGTGTCTGAACCCATTATTCCATTCAGAGAAACAATCACAAAACCCCCCACAGTTGACATGGTCAATGAAGAAATAGGCAAACAACAAAAAGTTGCAGTCATACACCAAACAAAAGAAGATCAAAACAGAATCCCTGAAGGAATCCAAGTGTACTCTGGTGGGCTAATCACCATGACAACCCCCAATAAACTTGCCACACTCAGTGTTCGAGCCATGCCCCTTCCAGAAGAAGTCACTCAGATTCTGGAAGAAAATAGTGATGTGATTCGTTCTATGGAGCAGTTGATATCCTCTTTGAATGAGGGTAAAAACACTCAGATGATTCACCAGAAGACCCAAGAGAAAATTTGGGAATTCAAAGGAAAACTAGAGCAGCATCTAACAGGGAGAAAATGGAGGAACACTGTTGACCAAATCTGGTCGTTTGGCCCAAGAAAATGTGGGCCCAACATATTAGTAAATAAAAGTAAAGATTTTCAGAATTCAGTATGGACAGGCCCAGATGGCAAAGCATCAAAAGAAGCCAGTAGATACCGAGATTTGGGCAATAGCATCGTGAGTGGCTTCCAGCTAGCAACCCTCTCTGGCCCCATGTGTGAGGAGCCTCTCATGGGTGTCTGTTTTGTTCTGGAAGAATGGGACCTAAGTAAATTTGAAGACCAAACAGCAAGTGATAAGCAGAATCAAGAACAAAGTGATCTGGTAAAAGAGGGACAGGGGGAAGGTGAAACCTGTCCTGGTAGAGAAGAACACCAAGACCTACAAGGTGGCTGCTCCGAGCCCTCTGAGAAGAGGGCTTCCCAGAAAGGAGAGTCTTCACTCACTGACTGCTATGGACCCTTCTCAGGACAGCTCATTGCCACCATGAAGGAAGCCTGTCGCTATGCACTACAAGTGAAACCTCAGCGTCTGATGGCGGCAATGTACACGTGTGACATCATGGCCACCAGTGATGTTCTCGGTAAGGCAAGAAAGGTAAAGACTGAGAAATACCATGAATAACAGTGGAAGTCTCTCAGATCAGAAAGCTTAAACTCATTTAATATTTTTTTTTTGCAGAAGCTACATTATCATATGATTTTCAGGAACTAAGATCTTAGAAAGTCAGAGGCCTTAAATATTACAATCTTGGGGGCAAGGGAGCAGAAGTTTTGCCAACTTAGGATATTTTGTTTTGCAAAAATGGAAAGACTTTTCTGCAACAGAAGGTCTGGTAAATAAGGTTTAAACTTCTCATATATTTTACCATCCAAATCCGTGCAGTAGTTTTTCACAAGGGAGTAACCATATCAGTCTGGGTAACCAAAGTTGTGATAACAATCAGAGAATAAGGTGACATTCTCGTACTCCTAACACAAAGGGCTTCTGTGAATTCTGGGTGTCTTCTGAAGAAGAAAATTATTTGGGACTTTATCCACTGCTAACTATTATATCAGATCCTACTGCTGATTTTTCTCTCTTTGGGAGAAGAACCTTTAAGATCTCAGGAGACATTGAACCCTGGCACTTGGTAGCTGTTTTGACTTTTGACAGATGGTACTTCAGTGAGACTTATTTTCTTCACCTCTGAAAAAGAAGGTAATAATTCATTGGAGGTTGTGAAGAGTAGCATGAGAACACAAATATGGGACCTGGAACCATGCCTGGCCACACGGTAGTTCTCTTTACCCTCTTGAGATTGTGGAACTGCTTCAGCGGTGAGGAGGTCATAGAAGGGGGAATTGAGCACTGGATGAGCGAGTGGACCAAATTGTTGTGTTTTCTCGAGCTCTGAGGTCCTTTGAGTCAGTATGTGGTTCCTTTACGTTCTTTTTGGTAAAGTCCTTTTGCCAATTAATTCCTAAAAGCATAAATCTAAATTGTTGGGGGTTTTCTTCCCCAAAAAGAAATTTAGGCTTGCGTCACAGTAAGGTTCCTGTGAGAGGAACGGAGCACCCATAGCAGCATTTCAAAAACAGTTGCGTTAAACACAGGTACATAGGTTTGGTTATCCTGAGCCGGCTTAAAGCCAGTACGTGCTGTGAGTCAGATCTGCAGATACGGCCTGGAATATGTGGTGTTTCTCAACCTTACCTGAATACAGCATCCTATTAACATCTCACGGAATCCATAGCTTAGTTCGAGGAACACTGATCTAGACCATTCCCAGGTGTTCTTCACATTTCCATTGAGAACCTTCTTAATTTAAGAAGGCAGAGGTAGAATTAGAATCAAGCAGTCTTAATTCCTTCAAAAACAGACCTCAGAGGTCTTCTCCAGTCTCTCCTACGCTGACAGATGCTTATACCACCTCTGTTTGAATACTTCTGTTGATGGGCAGCTCACAGCCAGTTCCGGGATTAAACTGTCTTTCTCATATTGAGCAAAAAAGTCTTGTCTCCTGCTAGTTTCTCACCATTCATACCACCATTCGTCCCTCTTACATGCAGTAGCACTTCATATATTTGAGGGGAGCATTCGTTTTCTAGCTTTATATGTTGGGGAAAACTCTCCACATCCTTCAGCTGGTTTTCAGGATATGATTTTTTTTAATCCTTCAGTTGTTCCAGTTGCTGTCCTTTAGATATACTTCCTTCGGTCAGCCTCCTTCTTAAATAAAGCAGCCATAAACAGCACCCCAGATACCATCTCACCCGTACAGACACAGACACACTGCTACCTCCCACATGTGGTACAGCATTCTTCTTTTAATGCAGTTCAGCAGTTGCATCTTGTCATTCACTTGTGAGAAGTCAGGATCAACCTCATTTTTTTTTTAAAATAAGTTTGTCTTTCTATTTTGTTCCCCCAAAAGCTGGATTTAAATCTTAGTGACTGAAATTATGTAGAACTCCTATATTTACATATGAGTAAACTGGGTCTATACAATTAATTTCTTCCCTTAGGTTTTGTGTGTGTGTGTGTGTGTGTGTGTGTGTGTGTGTGTGTGTGTGTGTAAAATACATAATAAACATTACAACAATAGTGAAGGAAGTTTTGGGGTTTTTAATGCCAAGAAAAAGAAGTCTCAACGCCATAATTTTTTTTTTTTTTTTTTTTGGCTGCGTTGGGTCTTCATTGCTGTGCACGGGCTTTCTCTAGTTGCTGCGAGCAGGGGCTACTCTTCATTGCCGTGTGCCGTCTTCTCATTGTGGTTGTGGGGCACAGGCTCTAGGCACGTGGCCTTCAGTAGTTGTGGCACGTGGGCTCAGTAGTTGTGGCACATGGGCTTATTTAGTTGCTCCGTGGCATGTGGGATCTTCCTGGACCAGGGCTCAAACCCGTATCCCCTGCATTGGCAGGTGGATTCTTAACCGCTGCGCCACCAGGGAAGTCCCTCAACACCATAATCTTCACACATTGATTCATTTTTTAATTTTTTTTCATGTGTCCTTTTCTTGTCTGGTGAGAAGTGAAACTCAATAAGTAGTGAATTGAATGTTGTGATGAAGTTGATGTCCTTTGTATATATAGCATTCCCCTGATTATCAACTTACCAACCATCTTATAAGAAGAAATAAACTTAGGTTGATAGGATTTTGTGTTAGAAAGTCCGTGTCATCTCCAAAGGTTTACCTCATGCTTCTATAAATATATATAAATCTTTATAATGTTTTCTTAAAATTCTGTAGGAAATTAGTATATGGCTTTCTAGTCTGTAGTTTATGGAAACCAGTGTTTTTATCCTTAAAAAAGTTCATTTATCATTTGCCTTTTACCTGTAGTTTGGCAGCTACCCTGCTATCCACAAGTTCTCAAAAGGGCAAATTTCTCTAGGGCCATGAGATAGAATTCTGGTCTTGGAGACTTGAACTCGTTTAAGAAGGCCAGTTACTTGCTTATCAACTGCTCGGCTATCTTGAACTTCAGCATTCTTCTATCATGTTTGTTCTACTTGCTGTAGTTTCTTCCTCATTCTCCTTACTGAAGAGAATGGAGGTAACGTCGGTGTTGAGAACCAACCCTGGCCTTCTTGCTGTCCTGTATTAATGTTACACTGGCCTCTCCAAGTTGTAGCTGTGACCCTTTTTGTTGTCTTTAACTCTGTTATTTGGTAGGCTCGCCTTACTCTAGTTTTCAACATCCAGGACATACTATGAACCTCCCTTAGTTGTTTGCTATCTTCTTCTTCTTCTGTCTACTGTGCCTGTCCTCTTAAAATAGGAGTCAGAAGGCACAACAGAGTGCCTTCCATGACCCAACAGATTTATTTTGGAGCTATTTATTTTGGGTGGGGAGGATCTCTCCTCCTTTTTTCTCACTGGGATCATTCATGATTGATATTTTCAGACTCTTGTTACTCCCCAAAGGAATTTTATCTTAGGGTTTGTTATCCTAAAGCCTGTTTGGTTTTTTGGTTTTCTTTTCCTTTATGTGTTTGAAATGAGCCTTCCCAAAGTCTAGGGTCCATGTAGATCTATCTATGCCTGTCTTTCCCTCCCTTATTCCCAGCATAATAGGAACACATATTTCCTCCCCAAATGGCCATCTCTCCTTACGTAATCCATTTGGAGCGGCATTTGTCCTTTCTGAGAAGACAGCTTTTCAGCACAACACCTGAAGCTAGGTTCAGCTGTTGGCATTTATTGGAAATTCCCAGCAGACTGTTGAGTCACCTTTGTTGAGTCAGTCCTCTGTGTCCATTTTTCCATCTGTGTTAGGAAGTCACCACTAGGACCGGACCCTGCATGTGACCAGGCAGTCCCTTGAATATCACTTGTCATCCGGCACTTTGATCTTCACCCTGGTACTTTTCACCTGCCCAGCTGAGTCAGTTCTGGCACTTTCTAGGAATAGATGCTTATCTTAGCCTTCAGGGTTATATGCCCTCTTCTCCCTTAGGAGCAGATATGTCTTTGCCTTGCCTTATCCAGGTACAACTCTCAACCTTGTATATTGGTTAGTACAGGTGACCCTTGAACAACACGGGGCTTAGGGGTGCTGACCGACCACACAGTTGAAAATCTGTATATTACTTTACAGTTGGCCCTCCCTATACGTGGCTCCACATCGGTAGATTCAGCTAGAAAAATCCACTTATAAGTGGACCCACACCCACCCAACACAGACCTGTGTTGTTCAAGGGTCCACTGTACACAGTCTGTACCAGTGTCGCTGGTCAGCCTTCTTAATACATTTCTCAAGAGATCAACTGGCTACCACACCCACTGCCTTACAAAGAAGCTGTGTTTAGATTTGATCTGGAGTTTTTTTTATTCCTGAATTGGTTTGAGGCCTTCTTGCTTAGACTAGAGAATCTCCTCCTAAGCCTGTTTTCTCTTGTTTTGAGGGATTCTTTGGTAATGATGACCAGTTTTTAGTATCCAAGGTCTATCAGGATACTCAGCTCTTCACTTGCGTTTACCTTTTTCTTTCTAAATCACCACCTTCACCTGGAAAAAGAAATGAAGAGACCTCTATGTTCCTGAGGCTTTTTGCTTCCTCCCTGGGTATACAGAGATCTTCCAGGAATACTTCAGACTGCTGCTGGTTCCTTTAATTCTCCAAGAATTGGCACCAGACAAATAAAAGGACAAGTCAGGTCTTTTTTATTTAGTAAGATGAGTTAGTCTCTTTTTAAAACTCTTTTCTACACAGATTTTTAAAATAAGGAATCCTTTTATAAATGTATAGAATTGCTTATGGTCAAAATGGGAAATTTTGCAGAAAAAATAATCATCTTAAAAATGTTTTGTCTGGGGAAATAATCCCAAGAAAATGACCTCCTTTACTTGTAAAACCTGCTTTCCTAACTGTGGTTTTATTATCATTTTTTACCCATGAAAACTGCCTTTTATGAGCTTGAACGGACATAAGAATTGGTTTGTGTTTTTTTTTTTTTTCTGCGGTACGCGGGCCTCTCACTGTTGTGGCCTCTCCCGTTGCGGAGCACAGGCTCCGGACGCGCAGGCTCAGCGGCCATGGCTCACGGGCCCAGCCGCTCCACGGCATGTGGGATCCTCCCGGACCGGGGCACGAACCCATGTCCCCTGCAT